TGAGACTACAAGGCCAGAGAGGACCTACCCTGAGACCACAAGGCCAGAGAGGACCTACCCTGAGACCACAAGGCCAGAGAGGACATACCCTGAGACTACAAGGCCAGAGAGGACCTACCCTGAGACCACAAGGCCAGAGAGGACCTACCCTGAGACTACAAGACCAGAGAGGACCTACCCGGAGACTACAAGGCCAGAGAAGACCTACCCTGAGACCACCAGGCCAGAGAGGACCTACCCTGAGACCACTAGGCCAGAGAAGACATACCCAGAGACCACAAAACCAGAGATATACACAACAACAACATACAAAACACCAAGGAAGGTTACAACTCCTTCCTCTACGACACGTCCAGAATACACTACAAAGCCTGAGATTTACACAACCAACCCTGAGACAACTCCTGAAATCATGAGGACCACCACACCAAAGATTATTTACACGTCATCAAAGACAACACCAGCAGTAACCAGTAAGTCTTTGCACCGTCAGTTTGCTAGAAGATGCTTATCTGAAAGCCCACGAAGTCTTACAAGGATATAGGCTGTTGTAAATATTATACTGAGTAGTATAAGAGTTAGCGGCATGTGTAAATGTAGATAGCCCGTCTTCCGGACAGAAATATAATAAAGGGATGGTAAGTCGCTCTTTTGGCTAGGGTGGTTGACCTTAGAATCCGAAGGTTTTGACAGACCCCTATTGCTGTGTCTTTAGGAAAGGCACTTTACACCTATTTCCGCAGTTGACTCAGATGTAAATGAGTACCTAGCTTCGGTTAAGGACCTCTCAGATAGGACTTAAACTGACAGATGCAGTCCTACCTACTCTCTTCTCTTCTCTACTCTTCTCTTCTCTTTATTTCTCTACTCTACTCTACTCTACTCTACTCTACTCTACTCTACTCTACTCTACTCTACTCTACTCTACTCTACTCTACTCTACTCTACTCTACTCTACTCTACTCTACTCTACTCTTAAAGCTGTAGGTCCCGTGCTTAAGGAGCGCTACACCTTAAGTATGTTTACCCCGCTACATGTTTGACATCTTTGAAGAGGTGATAGTCATCTGTTATGTCATTCCCTCCACAAATGTGGTAAATCTTCATAAATCATATTGAATCAAACCTGATTGCTTCTTTCTTTCTAGCTGAGTGCCCAGACGATATGTACGACCCATGTGCCTTCAGCTGTTACGACATGTGCCACAGCATGCGCCAGTCTGTCACGGAGTGTAAGTACGGTCACGACGAGACATGCGTTCCTCAGTGCGGATACCACAGAAAGTGTCCAAAGGGCTACTGCCTCATCTCCTCCAATGAATGTGTTCGGGAAGTGGACTGTGACTGCCGCCTGGAGAATGGAACAGTTGTACAGGTAGGAATATAACACTGACACAAGGAAAATGTGTACAAACTCACAGTAGTTATCCAAGCTTATGTTAGCCAACTGTTAGGGAAGTGACTTCTGTCCACTTTGCCTCCTTCCATAGTAACTATGTTTTACGAAGCCAATGCGGAAGAATTCTGCAACCTACATATTTATCATACTTTGATATATCATATACTTACAAATATTATTTCAGTTGGTTATGATCTATTTTGAAATGATATAAGACTTTCAGGAATTAAAGGGTATGTTTCCTGCTTCACCTTTTTACCTCCCTATTCAGAGTCCTTTCGTTTTTGATCTTTTCAGCCCAACACCAAATGGATGGAGGGCAAGTGTATGCAGTGCTCTTGCGAAGCAAACAAGATGGTCTGCAGAGACATCTGTCAAGTGACCACCACCACACCTGTAACTGAACCAACTGCCACAACCGTTACAACAACAACAACAACAACAGCAAAAACAACAACACTGGCCACGACCACCACCACCAAGACTACAAGACCACCTCATGAAGACAAGTGTGAGTATCAACAGGGTTCATCAGATGCTGTGCCAGTGTGGTGCAATGTGTCACAAATTACAAACACTATACATGATGTTACATTGCAAATTGTGCAACAGGGTATCAATGACATACATTTGAATGTTGTACAGTAATAGTGTAAAGTCAATGTGTGGACATAATATCAATTTGCAAAGTAGCAAATGATTCGTTACTGCAATAATTAAAGATTATGTGTGGCCGATTTCAGGGAGCATAATCATGTATGATTATGGTATTTTCAATACTTCAATATTTCACATATCAATGAATAGTATTTACAGTTCTCCTTAACCTGTGTTTTACAGGTTTCTGTTATGGTTATGGCAAGTGTGGCCACTTCGTCAGCTATGACAGCTGTCACTACAACTTTGATGGCAGGTGTACTTACGTTCTGACAAGGGATATGGGCAAACAGGTACGTCTTTTGTGTTCAAAGTAGAAATCTATTACTGGGTATCTGTTTTTCCCTGTTGATTTCTGTATTTAGATGTTTTTCTTCTTGACATGAAAATGATACACTACCGATGAGATGATTCTTATAATCAATATAACTAAGCTGATTACTTGATTTCTTACTATTGTTCATGCCTTTGACAGGAGTTCGAAGTGATGACAGTTCTTGATGAATGCGGCTTCCCTGGAACCACATGTCCAGTAGCTCTGATTGTACGCTACAGGGACTGCGAGATCAAGATGGAGGCTGGTTACAAGGTAATTTGAAATTTAAAAAAATGGTTCAACTGACTAATTTCTTGTGCTTACACGCACCAAAATTTTCTATTTTCACAAGTAAATTTTTTTATAAATTTACATGTCAATTAACATATTGACACATTCGAGCCCATTCATTTTTTGTAAAC